TGTACTGGGTTCTCCACATCCTAGTATCTTAAGCATGCAGTGTTGATATTTATATATACCTTCAGCGTGTTAGTGTAAGCCTGCTGACGTGTAATGGTTGGTGACACGGTGGACAGCGGAGGCGGGAGCCGGAGCGTTTGAATTCAAAAAGAAGCAGACGCAGGAGCAGTTGGCGCTGAGGCTGGTGACCGTGCCCACAACGCGATGTCAGAGTGGCAGTTGCATTGGCATCCCTTTGTATCTTGTTTTACGTTTTTCTGTGTGCGTCACAGTGTGTATTAGCTATTGGTATAAATAGCTGGATGTCTGGAGAGCGTGTTAGCGCATTGTAACCATACTTATCACATTTGTACTGCCATAACAAATTTGTGGAAAACAGCACTGCCATCCGACATTTGATGCGTTTGTACATCTGTGCTCATGCACGTTCTTGCTCATAAGCTTAGCCAATTTGATCATTAGCATTGTGATTGTGATCCCTAGTTCCAACATTTTGGTATCAGAGCCTTGATCAAGCGCTAATCACCACTTGATCCATGCCATGGGTGACCGGAGTGGCGGCGCAGGCGGCGGTGGTGACCGGATCACGTATCCGTCACTCACTCCAACCAACTACACTAGTTGGAGCATTCACGTCCAGGCGGTCATGGAGGACCAGGGGGTGTGCGAGATCATGGAGCCGTCGGGGGAGTCGTCAGAGCAGGGTGCGACGGCGACAGCGGCAGCGAAGGCGAAGGACAAGAAGGCTCGGGCGCACTTGTTTCAGTGCTTGCCCGATGATCTCTTAATGTAAGTCGCGGTGAAGAAGACCGGGAAGGAGGTCTGGGACTCATTGAAGGCGAGATTCGTTGGTTAGGAGCATGTTAGGGAGGCGCGGTTACAGATACTGAAGAGTGAATTCGATGCCATGAAGATGAAAGATGAGGAGTGGATCGATCAATACGCTGGGCGGTTGACGGGGATGTCAGTCCGGTATGGCAACCTTGGTGGATCGCTAGATGATGCAGCACTTGTGAAGAAGATGTTCGACACAGTGCCGGAGCCATTCATCAATGTGGTGGCGAGGATCGAGCAGTTCTATGACCTCAAGAAGCTGGCGTTTGAGGAGGCAGTTGGCCAACTAAAGGCATATGAAGAGCGCACCAGGCGGGGAGCGGGTGCCGCGGTGAAGTCTGACACCAGTCAGGTGTTGTTGACGCAGGCCAAGTGGGAGGCTCGGTAGAAGCAGGCAAATGGGGAAGCGTCCGAGAAGAGCCGATCGCAGGAGAGCAACAGTGGTAGTCGTGGTCGTGGGCAAGGTCGCGGTGGCAGTAGTGGTGGCCGCCGGTGGGCAAGGCGACGCAGCGAAGGATGGTGATGGCAAACGTGACAAGAGTCACATCAAGTGTTTCAAGTGCCACAAATATAGACACTATGCAAATAGGTGTGCAGGAGAGGAGAAGAAGGAGGAAGCTCACCATGCCAGCGTGGTGGAGTATGAGACCACGGTGTTGCTCGCGGAGATGGCTTTGCCGGGGATGCTTGAGCACCCGTCTTCAGATAGCCTGTTGTTGGACGGCTATCAGGGCAAGTTGTTTCTGAATGAGGTGAAAGTGTATCCTCTGCACTACACTAATGATGGGGTGTCATCTGGTGATGTTTGGTACCTGGACAATGGAGCAAGCAACCACATGATAGGGGATCGAGAAAAATTCAGAGACATGGATACTACTATTTCTGGTAAGGTGACTTTCGGTGATGGCTCAACTGTTGAAATTCAGGGTAGGGGCTCCATACTGTTTCAGGGTATTTCTGATAGTCAGTGGGTATTCTATGATGTTTATTTCATTCCCAAGCTTAGAAGTAATCTAGTGAGCCTTGGACAACTAATTGAGATTGGACATAGAGTAGTCATGGATGATGATTTGATTGAAGTATCTGAAAAGAGTCCTAGAAGAATGATAATGAGGGTATAGAGAACTATTAACTGATTATATAAAACTGAATTGAAATCGGTTGAGCTAGTGTGCTTGTTGGCCAATGTTGGGGATGTGTCATGGCTTTGACATGGTAGACTTGGTCATGTAAATTTTCAGTCACTAAAGATGTTAGTGGAGAAAGAGATGGCAGGGGGGTTACCTCTGATAGAACACCCTGATCAGGTCTGTCAGTCCTGTTTGGCAGCAAAGCAGACAAGGTGTTCTTTTCCGTAGGTTTCCAGGTGGAGAGCAGATGAACCACTTGAATTGTTACACATTGATTTGTGTGGGCCTATTACTCCAAAGACTGCAGGAGGCAGTAAGTACTTTATGCTCATAGTTGATGACTACACCAGGTGGATGACAGTTTCAGTCCCGAAAACAAAGGACCAAGCTAGTGATGCATTTGCCAAGTTCAAGGCAGAAGCATAAAATAGTTTGGGTCACAAGGTGAAGTGTGTGAGATCAGATAGAGAAGGTGAATTCTTGGCAGCTGCTTTCAAGGATATCTATGAGTAGGCAGGTATTAGGAGACAATTGACTGCACCTTACTCACCACAGCAAAATGGGGTTGTTGAAAGGAGGAACAAGACTGTCATGGAGATGGCAAGGTCATTGATGAAAAACATGAATGTACTAGGTATGTTCTGGGGAGAGGCAGTGAGACACTCAGTTCATTTGTTGAACAGGCTTCCAACTAAGCCAATGGGCAGTAGAGCTCCATTTGAAGCATGGAATGGGAGAAAGCCACAGTTGGGGCACTTGAGGGTGTCTCTGAACTTAACTGAACTTTTTTGACTATCAAAACAGAACAGTCAACTTATAAAATCCACAGCTGGAGCTATACTTATCCAACAAATGTGTTATTTAACAATCTGGAAAGATTAAGAAAAAATCTACAACTTTCATTTAAACCAGAAGTTCAAATTCGTCCATTAACAGAGCCAAAAAGTGGATAGATCTAAAACTGTTCAGATTCTCGCCACTGCAAAGCAGACTTCTTAGAAAAACCATATCTCCAAAATTACAGAGGCTATGATGTTGCTCCTGGTGTCAAACGAAAGATATTGAAGTCCTCTACAACTTTGTCCACAATGATAAAATTTATTAAGTCCATTAAGATACCCTCAAATGGCGATGAGCGGAAATTGCTCAGTCTGACGGAAATTCAGAACGTGAATGAGATCAATTTCGGGAATTACTCCAACTAAACCCTTTCCAATTAGATGATTCGATCCATGAAACATGCACCAAAGAAAGGGGATTAGGATTTGGTATCTCACCTAGGTCAACCACAGCGAACACTACAATAAGTTCTCGGCGATCCACTCCTTCCCTTCTTTCTCTTCTCCACCTCACGGCGATCTACGCCGCTATGACGATCTCACTGTTCCGATCTATGGCGAACATGGTATATCCATCATGAACAGCGAGGGAACGAGAAATTTGAGGGCAAAAACAAGGAGAGGAGATGATGTCTAACCAGTAGTCCAAGGAAGAATGGCACCATGGCCTACGACAGTGGCGGATGACGGTGGCGGCGGCGGATGACGACGGCGCGGCGGCAAACCCTAGAACCTCCCTTCCTCTCCCTTCTCCCTCTTCTCTTTTTTTCTGTGCGGCAGAGAACTACGGGCAGGGAGAGAGGAAACGCGCAAGAGGAAAGGACCGAGTCCTCCCTATCAGGTACGTGAGGTTTCTCTTTTTTTTCATCTTAAAACTAAAAATTAACATAACTCCACCATTCACGGTCCGATTAAAGTGAATGAACAGTCAATCAGTAAGTATTGGATGAGCTCTACGCATTGGTTGACTCCATTCATCTATCCGAGCAATGGATCAAAAAGTCAAATTTTCGGTCTCTCCTTAATTCTAGTCAACCTTTGCTAAAAAACACTTGACTCATAATAAAAATCATATTTATGGCATTCATTCTTTTTTCGAAAGCGTGCTTAGCACGTGCTTCATTAAGGGAAGTGGGAATCAAGGTACACAACCCAAAGACCCGGTTGGCGAGTTGCCATAGGCGCGACGGGTAGAACACATACAAAGATCACCAGCTCGAACGGTGGAGCAGCAAGGTCGTAGTGCTGGCTAGACTAATTGTGCGACAGAGGGCTAGGGGAAGCCCGCTAGGCAGCAGGCGTGAAGAGCGGCGCGAAGCTCCGGAAGCCGGCCGCTATCCAGTCGTTGGCTTCGTGACGGATAAGAGACACGAGCTCGGTCGGCGTCTTGCAGGAGGAGTCAAAGGTCCTTCTATTGCGTTCCTTCCAAACCTCCCAAGAAACAAGCAGCACCAAGGAGTCGAATCCCCACTGGAAGGACTCGGGAACCCGCATCCGTTCCTGCTACCACCAGTCGAGTAGAACGGACTCGTCGCTCGGGCAAAGATGCTGGAACCCGACACGCCACCAAGGTTCAGTGTGGCCATCAGCAGGTGACAGCTTCACAGTGACGGAGAAGCGGCAAATGCAGGAGCTGGAGACACTCTAGAGGTCTCGACGCCAGGAGGTTATTGCCCCTCCGGCCACGCCGATCACAGGCAAACAAGCAAAATCAAAACCGGCTCTAGTAAGATCAGCGTTCATGGAGGCAGACAAGTTGGCGACTTTGGTTTCCTGAAGACAAACGATAGAAGCTCGCTGTTGCTCGGCGACGTCACGCACTACGTTGCGGCGCACGCGGTTGTTCAAGCTGCGTGCATTCCAGACTAACAGGTGGTTCATACTCATGGTAGAACACTGTTGCGACGTATACCACGGTGCTCGGCCAACCGCGCTATAGCTCCAGCCTCGCCACGGTCCTCGCCCAGCGTGCGCTGTGCATGGGGAAGAGCTCGCGCAAGGCCGCCCTTTTCGAGGTAGAGACGGACCCACCGAAAGCTTCGTAGAATTGGGATGCAATCGAGTCGTCCGGCGTTCCCGTCGCCGTGTTGTCTGGATGCCCAGCCCATTTGTTGAGCAGGACGCGGCGCGCCTGCTTCTCTGGCTGTGGGTCACGGAAGGCCGACTTGGCAGCCAATCGGTCACTGCGACACGGAATCTAGTCATCGTCGACGTTCTTGGCTGTCCGGGCGCGCGGTGGGGTGCAGACCAGGGGCTCCTCCAGTGGCAGCTTCAGCGAGTCAATGAAGGAGGCAACCGAGGCTGCAGTGCGTGCGGCAGGCTGCACAACAGGCGCATCTGCCAAAGGTGGCAGCGGGGCGGAGGTGTCACCACCCTGGTGGTTCCCAAGTGAGGCGCATACCGTGGCAGGCTGCACAGCAGGCACATCGGCCATAGGCGTCGATGGGGCGGTGGTGTCATCGACCTGGTGGTTCCTAGGTGAGGCGCATACCGCTAGCTGGGGAGTCTAGGCATGCAGGGCATCGTTGAGCATGTCCACAGCTAGTGCTCTCGTAGGAGAGTAAGCAGCACCTGTGCAAACCCAGTTCTACTGAAGCTGCAATTCGAAGATTTCATCAACGACTGAGGGTGAAATAGGTGGTCGAAATACAGAGGGGCTCCTGTCCGGGAGCAAGCAGAGGTCCGCTAGCGGTGAGGACGTGGTCGTCTCAGCTAGCGACACCAGCTGCACCGACCGTGGGGCCTCGAGAAGAGACAGGTCTGAGCCCAAAAGGGAGCCCAGGAAGCCGTGTTGCGGCTCAACCGTAGGTCCGCTGCCGAGGAGATGGGCATCATCACAGAAGTCCTGAAGCAATGGGTTGGAGGAGATATTGGCCGCCGGTGTCCGAGAGTGCTCTGCGTGGTCCAGCAGGAGTGGCACGGGCTCCTGGTCGGCCGAGTATCTGGCAGTGTGTGATGCGGATAGGGACGGTTGCGTCTGTGGTGAGGGGGGCCGGACCAGCGAGCGGGGTCCGACCACAACCCGTTCGAAGGAGACAAGCGGACATCTGACGGAGCCGACGGTGATGCACTGTCGCGGCATGAAGGTGGTCTCGCGTCGCCCACCAAGACGTGGAGCATCATCATTGGCGTTAGTGAACCTGCGTAAACGAGGTCCGCGCGTATAGTCATCGCCTCGGTCCATGCCGGGGTGCCGTCGATTGAAGTTGCTGTCATCCGAGTCATCGTCGTCCGGGTCGCCGCCAACGAGACCCCCTTCCAAAGAGGGTGGCGGCGTGTTCCAGTCTTGGCATTCGACGATGCGAAGGCGTACCCGATAGCGTAGCCCCAGAAAGCCATGGAGGACAGACTCGTCCGCGCGGAGGTCGAGCGCATCACCAGGGACGCGAGCCCTAGGCTCCGGGACGAAGATGGACTCCTCATCTGAGATGAGCCATGGGTGTAGGCACCAGGCAGCAACAAAGAACTCACGGTCGTCATCCACTGGGGCCACCTCCGGTGGTGCGGGCACAATCCAGGCGCACGCCTGGCCCAGAATTGTCTGTGCCATCGCGACAGAGCGAGCGTGAAGGGGAACGTGCGTCATGCCCACCAGAACTCTGTAGCAGAAGGAGCTGGCGGACGCGAGCGAGGTCCGCCTCCACCGGTGCCAGATGAGGTGGAAGGGGGGGTTGGGCACCCTGGTGTACAGCACCGCCTCCAAATCCTAGAGATGTGAGAATCTGACGATGAAGTCCTCCGATTCATGAATCCGCACCGTGGCGTCAACGATTCCGAGGTAAGTTGCAAGATAGTCGCGCATCATCGCAGGGGACACTTGCGGCCTGGTGCCGGCAATGACGGCGACCAGAGCCAGGCCGAGGTCACGCTCTGCGGCCTCCAGCTTCGTGGAGCGAGGCACGACGACGAGGCCGGAGTGGCGTCTTCCATCGCTTGCTGATCGTCCTGGAATACTGTCATCAGTGATGGGTTCCTGGGCAGGGGGCAGCTCTGGCACTGAAGTGTCCGGAGTCGGCGGAGCGCAGCAGTGGGGGACCGATGTCGACCTGCCGGTGGAAACCGATCGGGCGGAGATCGTGTCGTCGGAGTGCACCGGTCGTTCTTGCCTAGTCGGCCGGCGCCTCGCCGTGCCACAGCGGGGAGCACCGTCGGAGGACCGGCGTCGCTTCCGGGCACCCAAGGGGGGGAACGGATAATCCCACAACCTATGGCACGTGCTGCCACAGTTGCGGCATTTGGGAGTCGCAGCCTCTTCCGTGGAGTGTCTTCCGGATGATTTGGTGCCCGTCATTGGAGGGAAGGGGCAGTCACGCTGCCGATGGCATTCGCTGCCGCAATTGAGGCACCTGGTGGGCGAAGAGCAGGCTGCTCTGAGGTGATGCCTGCTTCCGCAGTTGAAGCATTTGCCGTTGAGGTGGGTTGGTACCGGTCTCGGTTGGTGTGGTGGTGTGCGCCGGCGCCATCGTCGGTGGCTCTGGACCTGGAAGTAGCCATCAGCATCCGTAGCCCCGGAGGCGCGCGGCGGGTGGGCGGCCGTTGAGCGAGTTCGGCGACGGGCGTCATCCACGCCACGTTGGCCCCGAGAGGTCAGCGGGGGACCTTCCATCGGGGGGTGGGCGCGGCGGGCGGCGGCCATGAACTCGCCAGCGTCGGCGGCGCGGGCGACGGCAGCACCCCCCGGCCGGCGCGGGCTCCTTTCCCTTGCCCGCCGGCGGCGGCGAGTCTGGCTCAGATCCGTCAGAGGCCTCAGAGTCGGTGAAGGAGAGCCTCGCGCCGTAGCTCCCAGAGGCAGGGGAGAAGGGCTCAGCGTTGGGGTCGATGCCGGGGAAGTTGGGTCCGGACCGTGCGGTGCTGCCAAAGAAGGGCGTCGCGTTGGGGTTGAGGCCGGCCGCGGCGGCGTGCCCCTCTTCTTCCACCTCATCAGCCCAAGAGCGCCATGAAGAGGACCCAGGCTCCATGGCAAGCAGTGGATCTGCAGGGGGGAAGCCGAGATCCGGCGGCGGCCGCCTCAGCGGGCAGGGGCGCGGCCCTGTCCCAATGCTCAACTTCCTCGCGGACACTTTTTGGCAGCTCCTTGTGCACGCTATGGCATTCATTCTTGGTGTATTACAGGCACGCTAGTAGTAGATGGAACTGGACAAGTAGAATGCAAGAGATGCGATGACGATTGGTAATTAACTAGCTATGCCAAGAGCTACAGCACCACTTTGAAAACCCTATCTCTGCCAACGAAGGACAGCACTAGTCAACTGCCTCGCCCCTACCCCTGCCTCAAGCTAATCCCCGATCACCTTGCCCCTGCCTCTGCCCACCCAGCCTTTAAGCAATTAAACACATGCTGAGCCTGTGCAGCACCCATCTCGCATGTTCCATTCTGTAAGTTGATGTGAGAGGTCTCCCTGCCGAGCGAATCATTCGCACGTTCCATAGTTGTTCCCTCAAAGAGTTAACTCATATATACTTACTTGTGTTTTCCCTAATCCCTTTCATTTCTAGTAGGAAACAAGGGCCTTCTCTATAGGATTTCCTTTTATGCCGTACCTCATCGCTCTTATTTCTCCTCTACTACTCTAATTTCTGTTCTCTTGCTCTATCCATGGTGGTTCGTTGTGGCAAACTGAAGAATAGCAATGAAGTATGTATAGCAGAGCTTGTGATGCATTGTGGATAGAAATGGTATTCTTAGAGGCGGTTTAGCCTGCCACACGCCTCTAAAAATAGAGGGCATTTCTAGAGGGAGCCGGAAAGCCAGCTACCTTTTTATGGCCGATTTTGACAGACTTACCTCTATCAAAAAGGTAGATGCCTCTTAAATTGGTTTCTGTAGTAGTGACTTGCAATGCAGAATGATAATTTACGGCCAGCTCCATGTGCATGTAAATCAATAGAAGAAAAAAGATCGTGTGTCCAGTGAAACCATTTCCCGTGAACAACTAAGTGAAAATAATAATAAAATATTATGGTGCGTGCAATTCAGTGTCACAGTGCAAATTAACATGTCACAATGTCCATTGTTCCGTGTTACCTACCAAATACATGTTATAATATGCTGGGATTTGCTACTAGCTACACCACATAAATCGCACATGCCCTTCCTACCCTTTAGTTCACCTGAACCACCCAGCAAGTTAAAATGCATTGGAGGAGAAAGAAATAAAACAAATGACCCTGCAGCAATGGGCATCGTCATGGACGTTTAATTTTCTTTTGCGAACAAGTATGTATATCTACTCTACTAACAAGTTTACCTTTGCGAACTGTATCTATAGTACTGACATGATGATTATTAATTAACTGTATTTGGTACAGTACTGGATCCGAAAATAATAAAGATAATGACACATTTTTTTAGATAGTGGATTCATTAATCCGGCCTCTATATCTAAGTAGGATATACACAACCAAAAGAATAGAAGAGCACTTAGACTCACACCTCAATAAAGAGGAGAACACATGACCATAAAAAGAAAAAAAAACTACAACCTAGGCATAGCTGCTCAAGACGTTGTTAACTACTTCATCCCTGGGGCTTGTCTCGGGCGAGTTTGGGGGCCTTTCCTTTCATATATTCCTTAATTTCTGGGACTCACCACGATGAGTTGGGGCAGCTTACAACTGGCTAGAATAATGAGCATCAGAGTGGATCTGAATTATTGATTGACAAGTACACAACCATCATGCACGTACTTATCATGGCTTCGTACACCAAATAATTACTTCATTGGATAGTTTAATCGTTGGCAATAGTATCTTGCTATGAATAACTTATCTTGTGGCGAGTTGCGAACTGCTCCGCAAGATAGGTATGGTACACGTACATCAATCATATTGTTCTTCAGAAATGCTTGACTTTGTGTTACTTTCTGCATGGTTCGTGAGTAGGATTATGTACATAGATTAAGTTAAGACATTCACCACTACATAAATGATTTTCCGAGGCATCACCCTTTTCTAGTAATGGTGGGATCAAAAAAACACATCTATAAAAGGTTCCAGAAGCAGACCACGTCTAGAAATGAATTTCTAGGGGACATTGGTACAATATGTGTTTCTGGCCGCCCCTAAAATTGCTTTTTATTTTAGTGACGGCCACTAACAATAACTATCTCTAGAAATGACATTACTAGACGATTGGTATTTTTCTAACTACTTCTGGAAATGTCTTGTGTAGGGGTGAACGTAAAAGCACCAACCACATCTAGAAATCGATTTTCAGAGGCTCTGTTAGTAATGTGAATCACTTGTAAAAATAGACACTACAGTCATAATTTATAAAACGTAGTTGAATATATCAATGTTGTAGAGTTTGACAAGATCTAAAATTTCGTAGCTGATTTTTTTTCATTTCAAATAATTTAGGGTCCTAGTAATATTCAATACAAGATTAATAGAAGTTAATATGAATAAAATGATATCATCCTTCACATGGTCATAAGTGATTGTGTGGGGTATTGGTAGGGGGGCTTGCGCAAGGTAAGAGGTCATTGGTTTGATGCTTCACAAATTATGAAAGTGGGCTTGTCTTGAATTATTTACGTTTTGCTATTTTTAGTTGCTGATTTACAATTGCTAGAAAATGATTCTTATACATGGACCACATTAATGACTGCTTCTATACAAATAGATTTGTTTCAGGCAGTTGGAAACAAGGCCAACTTGCTGAAATTATTTTTTTGGGACAGCTGCATACCCACCCGTAGAACCAATGATTTCTATGTGCCTTTGATAGAGGCAGTTGCACAAACCACATAAAAAACCATTCCTAACCATCTCTGCAATGCTGTGTGTAGTAGTGATACAAAATCAGAGCCAGAAGAAAGATACATAAAACAAGGAGGAACAGGATAAATCCATGTACCATGGCATGCCAATTGCAAACCCTGTTGCAGAAAATGTGGCCCGACAACACAACCGTGTGGCTCTGCTCTGTGATATCTCACACGTCACAGGAACATTGACCGGCCACTAGCAGTCACATTGCCCCAGCTCATGCCTCTGTGGTGCCAGTCGTTCACATTACAATGGCGCAGAGCTCACCATCATTCTCATGTTCTCTCAATGTTTCCTCAAATATGAAGGTCAAAAGTACTAGCGCTTTTCCTAAAACCTCTCATTCTTAATAATGCCTTATGATCGATTTCCTTTCAAGCCACACCTTCGTGCTCCTTATCTCTCCTCTACCCTAATTTCTATTGCTGTTGCTCCATGGTGGTTAGTTGTGGCAAAAATGAAGCAAAACAATGATGATGTGTATGTAGAGCCCGTGGTGCATTTGTGGGCAGATGCAATAAGTATGTATAGGGTCACACAGAGCAAAGGCTTTATTTGAAGCTTCATTTGCCCTTGGTTTACTTCATGGGAAGATATGGGTCCTAATAAATATATGAAGGTACTCTATCTGGAACCAGCATATATGTAGCAGTACACTAGCTATATATTTACTAGTATATTGTTTTGTGGGTGACAACGGAAATCACAGTGCAGTTTTATTAGTGCATTCAATCCTGCAGAAAATGGCTAGCTATCTCCTGTTTTGAACTTTTGATCCAACAATAATGTGACTCATGTATTTGTCACCCTGTTTAATGAGAATAAAACCAACACTCGGTGTGGCCTCAGGGATGGAGAAGCATTTTCAGACACGCCCACAGAAAAACAACATTTGTGCACTGGAAAAGTGATGTAGGCCCTTTTTGGAGGCACTTATTTTCCAGAAGATCTTCACCACTTCCCACAAAAAACTGAGTTCTAAAAAAAGCTAAGCAATGGTGTTTGGGATACCAAACTTTTCACCTCTTGGCATGCCCATCCCCTTGCCGCCGGCCGCTCTTCAGGTGCTCGGGTGTGGCTGGTGGTCGGCCGGTGGGTGGGCCTCATGTGCTTGATTGGGTCGGGCGTGTGAGCTTGACGGAGGGCGTGGGCGAGCTGCAACGGTTGGCGCTCCAGCAGTAGCGCTCGATGGTGGGTGGTCAGGTGAGTGAGATCAATGTAAGGCGGGCGGGCTCCAGCATGAGGCAGTCTGGGGGCAGCAGTGCTCAGGTGAAGTACGTCGTCGGAGTGAGCTCAATGGCTTTAAGCACAGAGAGGCACGGGCGTGAAAACAATTCTCCAGAAGCAGCCCCCTCCCGCCTTCCCAGAATTGTTCGTAGTTTATTTTTCAGAAACTCATCTAAAAAAATATGTTTGTTGAATTTGTAACACACACGTCTGTCAAAATTTCTACTCCATGTAGGAGCATGGGCTTATGCACCGGTGAACATTAAGTAAATGGTGTGAGTGGTGGGGTATGTATGTGTTTTTAGTTTGGGAATAATGAATGGCATATATCTCATCATCTTAATTAGGTATCTTCATAATTGCTTATTTGTTTTATTTGTCTTGACCCAAGGGATTCATTCTCTAAATTTGATATGGACAAGCTTGCTCGGCTTACTGAGATTTATTCTGATGATTTCTTCTATTAAGATAAGTGGGGTATAAAAGATCAGCTTGAACAATTTATTATTCATGTGAGAAGACTTGAGTGGTTTAGAGAATGTCATGATCTGGCAAGCATAGTTGCATACTGTTTTCGCATTGGTTTATCGCCTAATTGACTTGGCATTGATATTACTGGTGGTGATGGCATGATCAGTTGAAAGATTCTTTCACTACTGCAGATATGATTTGTAGGGGTGGCTCCTGGCCATTTGTAGAGGCAGTTTGACCAGCCACCCCTACCAAAACGTGGCTGCAAATCGCCGATTTGTAGGGGCGGCTGAATATAGAGCCGCCCCTACAAATAAGGTCATTTATAGGTGCGGCTGATAACACCAGCAACCCCTACAAATGAATTTGTAGGGGCGGCTCGTTTGGGAACCATTTGTACAAAAAAAAAAAGAGGCGTTGCTACAAGTCCTTTTCGTAGTAGTGTTTTTAGCTATGAAGATTATCAAAAATAGAATTGCTCAACAAGATG